AATAATTATTAATTATATATATATTTAGCGCAAAAATCCGCGAAAAAAAAAAGCGACGGACTAAGAGATGCCGTCCGTCGCTTTTTGTAAAATAATTTAAAAAATAATTATTTTTATTAAAAAAGCGACGGACAGTGTGGCAAAAAGGCGTCGCTTTTTGGAGCGACGCCGTCCGTCGCTTTTATGTCCGTCGTTTTTAAGCAGTTTTTTAGTAGTGTCCTCTCCTAAGATTTATCCATGATTCAAGGGCCGTTAGTGGCGTATTTCTCGAATTATGATGATTTAGATTTGACCTCTATAAGAATATTCCATGTCTTTTGTGGAATATATCGAGGTCTTGATCTCTTTAAGGAATTTTTTAGATGCCTTTTAAGAGAATTTAGTACCCTTTATATAGGTATAAACTAGTGTTTAAGGTTGAGTAGCCTCCAAGAATCATAATTTGAGTTGAACACAATTAGTAGAGTCCCAACTCGAATTGAACACATCTTGTAGAGTCCCACAAAATTTCAATGTCTACAAATGCCCCTGCTTCAAGCCTTGTCGGAGTGTAGACTCGATGAAACTCAAAGATGAGGCTTGAAGTACTCATTCTCCCACCTTTGCAGCTTCAGATTATCAGATTTGATTTAAGAGAGAAGAGATGAAGGGCAGATTTGGTCCCACTGGGCGTGCCAATTTGTTTGCAACAAATTTTAAACATATGGAAAATAAATAAACCACAACAAATAAAATCTAGAAGAAACATAACTTTATTGATAAATATGCGGGTACAATTTTGTTCATCCCTTGATTCGAGGGATGAATTTTATTCATCAAGATAGCGGGTACAATTCTGTTCCTCCCTTGATTCGAGGGACGTTAGTGGCGTATTTCTCGAACTAGGATGATTTATGAATATTCCATGTCTTTTGTGGAGGTCTTGATCTCTTTATGGAATTTTTTGAGATGCCTTTTAAGGGAATTTAGTACCCTTTATATAGGCATAAACTAGGGTTTAAGGTTGAGTAGCCTCCAAGAATCATAATTTGAGTTGAACACAATTAGTAGAGTCCCAACTCGAATTGAACACATCTTGTAGAGTCCCACAAAATTTCAATGTCTACAAATGCCCCTGCTGCACTTAAAAAAACACCAATTTAATATTGAATTATCATTAATACTTGATGCGTCCCAACGTCCTTTATGTTGAATTAGGATTGGATAATTATTGGTATGCATGATTGAATAGTCGACCAGAATGAATAGAAAGAGAGTTTTATTTTTGTTAAGAAACCTTTTATTGATAGGAGAGAATATTTATTACCAATTTGAGTAAAATGGGGAACAACAGAAATCGTGGAGCACTAATAAAACTTTTCTTCTTTTAATTTTACATTTTTTTTAATATTAAAATCTAACTTTGAAAAAAAAAAACTATTGTTATATAGGCGGGAAAAAAAACTATTGCTATATAGATATAATTAAGGTACTTAATTTGTATACTTAAGTTTTTTTCCCAAAAATATTTACCTTGTATTGCCTTATTTTAAAAAATTTCTTTTATCATGCATTGCGAATAAATATTCTATTTTAAAAATTATAATGCATATTTAATTTTCAATACAACAAACCAAATATTCAAAAAAAAAACAATTCATGCATTGTAATCTCCACAATACTAATAATCTCAGCAAAACTCTAACCATCATCAAACTACTCCTAAGCTATACCCTAAATCTGACCCTACTACATTCTACACTTGAGTAGAAGGTTCAAACCCCATCATCAGTATAGCATCCCCTTCCCCTTTTTTCATTTCCACTCCCTCCCCCGTGTAAACTAAAAAGCTCATTTGTTAACTTTATATATATATTTTTAGGTTTTTTTTTTTTCCACCCGGTGTTCGGAATCTACATTGGAGCTCCGATTAAATTCGGATCACATTCTGCAGAGCCCATTTAGGGGTGGCGCTCCCAACAAGATTTTCCCCATACCCAGGGCTTGAATCCGAGACTTCTGATTAAGGGTGAAGCACTCCCACCAGTGCATCACAATCCATTTATATTTATAATATCTAGAAATGCTCCACAATAACAAAGGGATGTTAACCAATAACGGTGCATTTTCAAATTATAAAAGCTACAGGAGAAATCCTTTCAATTATTGAGAAAAGTGTGTTGCTCAAGTGAGTCTTCTATCAGCATATGCACTTTATTCCTTTGGGCAGATCAAACCCTTTGTGCTGAATAAAAGGAAAGCCATGTGATGTTCATTGGCAATGAGATTTGTCCAATGGAATAAGTGAATGGATGGAACTGTTTCTCCCTTAACCAAAGTTTCAGGTTTGAACCTTGTGTTGAGAGGTGATAAACTGAGATTACCAGACCTCCATTAATGGAGGTCACATGAACTGTATGAATACAAACTTGAACAGATGAATGAAAATATGCAGATTGTTTGGGGAAGAAGAAAAGTGTCTTATTCCAAGTAATGTTGAATGTATATATACACGTATATTGAGCAAGTAAAAATATCTAGATTTTCTAACTAACTCAACTAATTCTATACAATGCTTAATTAAGCTAATGCCTCTAACTAACTATGAACAGTGCCAACTAACTGATTTGAACAGTGCCAACTAACTATTTGATTAAACTACTACATAATATTTCAATACCCCCTCTCAAGTTGGAGGTGGAGATGTCACACCCAATTTGCCCAAAAGATGCATATGTTTGATTCTAGTGAGGGCTTTCGTTAAAATGTCTGCTAGTTGATCTACTGTGGAGATGTGATGCAAGGATATAAGCCCATCTTGTAATTTATCACGAACAAAATGACAATCTACTTGGCTGTGTGAACAACAGCTTGGCTGTCACAGAACACTGGAGTAGGTGCAGAACATGGAATGGTTAATTCATCTAGGAGCCTTCTAACCCATATCAATTCTCCCACGACCTTCCTGATGGATCTGTATTCTGCTTCTGCAGAGGATAATGAAACAGTCTCTTGTTTCTTGGACTTCCAACTAATAGGACAGTCCCCAAGTAGCACAAGATAACCACTAACTGATCTTCTTGAATCTGGGCATGAAGCCCAATCTGAGTCACAATATGCCCTGAGTTCATAGTTAGGAGTATTTGACAGAAACAGTCCCAAAGTGGGATCACCTTTTAAGTACCTAAGTACATGTATAGCTCCCTTGAGGTGAGCTTCTCTTGGAGCTTGCATAAATTGGCTAAGTGTTGTACACTATAAGCAATGTCTAGCCTTGTGTTGCTGAGAAAATTTAGCTTTCCAACAAGCTTTCTGTAATATGCAGGATTAGGCAGCAATACCCCCTCTGAGGCATGCAACTTAACAGAGCTATCAAGTGGAGAGGAGACAGGAGAATACCCAAGGCAATCAAACTCTTTGATAAGATCCATTGTGAACTTTCTCTGAGAAATGATAAGGCCATCATCCTGGTAAATAACCTCCAATCCTAGAAAATAATGCAGCTTGCCTAGATCCTTGATCTTGAACTGAAAATGGAGAAAGGACTTAAGATCTTGAATTTCCTGGAAATCAGTACCAGTAAGGATGATATCATCCACATACACAGCCACAAATACAGTGGAGGATAGGGTTACTTTGTAGAAAAGGGAATAATCACTGGTTGAATGAATGAAACCTTTTGTGCAGAGAGCATCCGTAAGCTTATCATACCATTGTCTACTGGCTTGTTTTAAACCATATAGAGACTTCTTTAGGTGACAAACCAGGCCAGGAGAATCAACCTCCAATCCTTGAGGAATTTCCATGAAAACTTCTTCATTCAGGTCACCATGTAGGAATGCATTATTGACATCTAACTGGTAAATACCCCATCCCTTTTTAACAGCAACACTGAGCAAGGTTCTCACTGTAGTCATTTTAACCACAAATGAAAATGTCTCTGTATAGTCAATACCTGCTTGCTGGGTATAACCATGTTGAGAGGTGATAAACTGAGATTACCAGACCTCCATTAATGGAGGTCACATGAACTGTATGAATACAAACTTGAACAGATGAATGAAAATATGCAAATTGTTTGGGGAAGAAGAAAAGTGTCTTATTACAAGTAATGTTGAATGTATATATACACGTATATTGAGCAAGTAAAAATATCTAGATTTTCTAACTAACTCAACTAATTCTATACCATGCTTAATTAAGCTAATGCCTCTAACTAACTATGAACAGTGCCAACTAACTGATTTGAACAGTGCCAACTAACTATTTGATTAAACTTCTACTGCATAATATTTCAATACCTTGGGTATAAAAAAAATTTCTTGGTCGGGAGCAATTTCCTTTCAAATGGGGCACGAATCCGGATTGGTCAGCCTCCGATGAAGATACCATACACTCGATGAAAATACAAAAAAAGAGGAATAAAGCGCATTTGTTATCCTGTAAATAAAGGTCTCTAATTTAATCCCTGAATATGGACCCTACGCAACGCCGATCCAAATTCATCAACCTCCAATGTAGGTACTAGACACCCAATGAACCCCAAAAAAAGAGGAATAAAGTGCATTTGCCATCCTTAAATAAAAGACTCCAATTTGAGCCCTGAATATGGAAAAATCCTAGGTCGGGAGCACCTCCTCCCCTTCCTCCCCCAAATGAGGCCCTACGCGGTGCGAATCTTGAGGAATAAAGTGCAACTGCGGATAGAAGAAAATCTATAAGGAGCATATAATATTAATAAAGATTATCCAGAAAGTACATATTCCTTATGAGTTATGAGATTGCTATGCTCAGTGTTCAGGGAAGCGTGAAGCGGAAAAAAGCGATAAGGCCCCTCTTCACGCTTTAAGTGATGAAGCGCTTGCTTTAAGCGATGAAGTGCTCACATACTCATTCTAGTCTGTGAAGCGTAGAAGGCTCACATCGCTTCGCTTCATTGCTTTAAGCAATGAAGCGCTCGCTTTCCTGAACAGTGGCTATGCTATATACCAACTAGCTAATTAAATACTACTAATACACTGTGAGGATAGTGAGCTCTTCTGCATTTGTATTCAAACTATATATGTTCATTACTCCTCAATCTCAAACAAGACCATATGAATTCTCTATAACTATGCAGCTCATTATATGTTACGATGATTCCTAATTTGACTATTTTTATGCTGGTCGTAACCCTTTTCAGATATCCAGGTATAGACCAGCTACAATTTCACATTTATGTAAATACTAAATATACATATATAAAGATTGTTGATATATTCGCATCTACTAACAAGTACTCAGTAATCGTCGCAAAAGAGTAAAGATTAATGAGTGCAGTAGAGTACTCCACGAAGATCGACTTGAATCTTGGATATCCTCCATGTAAAATGTGTTTCTTTGAGGCATTACACTCAAATGTAGCTCTCAATACTTTAGCTGGTGAAAGCCTCAGAAAAGCCAATGCTTCTTTCTGCGCACTCTAGCAGGCACCTCTGTTGAACATCAAGATAAGAAGAGACCCAATATATCAGCAACCAATGATAGCCAAGACAAATTCTTAAGGAAGAATGGAAGCACAAGTGGCAGAGGTGGGTAGAATATGGATTTAATGGGTTCAATTGAACCTACCGGTTATGACACAGAACATTGAATAAATCTGTGAAAAATATTTAGTTATGAACGCATAATTTCAAAAGTGTAACAAATTTAGTGGTTAAGAGATAAAGGTTGAACCCATTGAGTTTAAATTTTGGATCTGCCTCAGAGAACAAGACTGACGTACCTCCAATTACGTATAGAGAATTGTAGTGCACTTCACTCCAGAAACTCAGCCACAATTCTAAAAATAAAGAACAAGTTAAATGTGCGAAGATACAAAGAAGAGAAGAAAAATCAACACCTAAGACAAATTGAGAACACAAACTAAAGTATAAAGCAGTCCTATTTTTATGTTCAGCACACGTGAATTTGCTCGACTACTACATCGTTCTTCATAGTAAGTATTGCCATATTGCAACAACGAATTTGAAACAAACAATGTTCCTTATTGAACCTAGCCAAGGTTACTTGAACATTTTAATTAGTTTTCTCTAGATGACCACAAACAGAGATGTTTGCCTATTTAAAGAGAATCAGCTCAAGAACATCCACAAACATGATCTAAATTTGAATTTCTGCAGGAGAAACATTCAGTTACTATGGTACATCAAAAGTACTATCAATCAGAAAACATCATCCTATTAGTTTATTTTGCATAGGATTATGTCTCTTGGTAGTAGCAGCTAGGTAGCTCTCTAGGTAAGTATGTGTGCTCATTCACATACGAATGTATGCATGCATGTGTGGGTGTTTTTGTGCATACATGACAGACAAGATGTATGAACGTACCTCTAGAAGGCTGTATGTCCTTAGGAAGAATCTCAATGTAGCCATTTTCGCGAAAAGAAGTGACCAAACATATTTTTACTCCATACTGCAATCAAATTTCAGCAGGCGCAAAGAGTTACAACACCATCACAGTGGCCCACCCGAAAAAGAAAAAAAACATATAGATAGGAAAGTATAAGCAGCACAAGAAAGAAGAAATGGGTAAAGCAGTTCTCAGAAATGAAGAGTCTAGAAATCCTTTAGGCGGATAATGTCCAAACCTACCTAGTGATTCAGAGGCTAACAAAACTTGAAAAGATGTAATATCATTTCTTTACATCATTCACAAGCTAAGTTGCTCGGACTCAGATGAGGGTGTCTGATACAGGTACGTATCAGAGGTTGGATCCTTCATGATATAAATTTTAAGATTCGCGAGTAGTACGGATCTAAGTATGGATATGGGGTGCAGGGATTCGGCTAAAATTAATTCAAATATCTAAATAGATTTGTAAAAATATGCATAAATTATGGTGGACTATTTGGAAGAAAAGGAATGCATGAACTTTTGGGAGCAAGGATAAAAAATATGTGCCTGAATCATGATTTCATCCTAGCTTTTGTTTTAATTTCCCTTATATAAAGAGTCCTAATCTAATAAAAGTAGGGAAATATTTTACAATGTTCTAATAAAATATAACAAATCTAGACATATTAATCTATTAACATCTACCATATAAATTACATTTATTTTCAACATTATCGTACTTGTACTATTGTGTATGTCGTGCATCAATGGACTCTTCAAGTGATATTTGTGGTTTTCTTTCTTTAGTGCAGGTATGTGAATTTTATATTGTACTATGTACTAAGTTTTATTATGATAAAACAAAAATTCTTGATTCTATTTTTTGTAGGTATGCGCTTGCGAGTGTATTATCCCACTGCAGCCTTGACTGCCGCATACATGTCAAGCGTCTGTAGATCACTTGTGAGCCACTACAGGCATACCTTCAAGCGCTACAAAATTTACGAGACTAAACCACTTCTAATTGATATATGCTACTCATGTGCTAAAGACGACCCTTGAGGCTTATCCATTCGTTTGATCACATGAAATGATATAAGATATTGTACTATAAACTATTATTTGGACACTTGCTAATGAAATATCTTAAGACATTTGAATAACGAGCTGATAATGTGTCATGGCTATGGTTTCAGAAAGTGTTGATGATCTTCACTTGCTCATATTTGATATCGTATTCACTAGAGCTTCCTTACTTTTTTACTTGTTATTTTGTCCGTTTGACATCTAAGTACATATTTTATACGTACTTGCGTCCCTATGGTCGAGGGCACTGCATTTACATAAATGCATAATCTGACGCACAGGTTAGCAGACCATCCCACTAGGCACTCATCCTCTCAGCTATACATTTGGTGAGCTCCACTTCTACTTGGAGCTAGGATGTGTCTAGGACTCTTTCCTGTATATATTCTATGATTATGGATGTAAGTCGGGGCCCTATCCCGACCATATGATAGTTGTACATTTTTTGGTTTAAGTAGAGGCATCTTAGATTCTGCAGTATTTGTATATATGAAGTCACTCGTTCACTTGCCACTTATATCAGTTTGGCCATTGACCTTCACTTCTACATATACAATTTTATCAGTTAGATAACCATTAGTAGTAAGGATAATTTTGAGCTATTTGACCAGTTGTAGGGCATTTTGAGCCAAAAATGTAACAGGGTAAACTTGACCTATTTCGAATAGCCTAGGGGTAATTTTGGCCCTTCTCCCTAAAAGCTACGTATGCATGTCTTCTGATTTGAAAATTGAGATATCAAAAGACTTTCACATTAAGTGTTGTATGAGCCGTTGTTATAAATTTTCAAATAGAACTGGACAAGTAAAACAAGAAGCTCACAATATTAAAAAAGATCAATTTGGGTTGATGAATCATGAACCAAAAACAACACTCCACTATGACGGCTAGCCATTCAATACCAAAGACAACATTAGAACATCTCTATCCTAGAACCTATTTCCTTAATTTAGAAAAGACCAAAACAATGTTAAGTAAAATTCAAATAATTGGGCATCAAATTGAAAACCAAACAGCCAAAGAAACCCAAAAAAGAGACTAGCAATATCATAGAGGCGACAGCTATGGGTTGTGGATGTAACTTCTACCAGCATGTGGTAGCATAGTTCCACATAGGACTTAGTTCTCACTTCTCACACTTTTGACTAGTCTCTCACTGCTTTGCTTTGATACCATAGCTGCACCTTGATTCCATTCCTAGTTTAGAGAACTATTGAAATTCATTTTTGCTCATCCAACAGAATTCATCCTTACTGAAAGTTTTATCAGGCTACTTACTGAATTCCTTTTCGCTTGTCTAAGAGGATTTCATTCTTATAACAAAACTATGTGTTTGCTCATCTAACAGGATTTCCTCTGAAAGTTCCGAGTCCATGTTAATAGGTAACATCTAGAAACTTTACAAATTGAAACCCACCAAAACAAGTTATATTTGATGTAGGGCAGGTATCACACATCCTACTTATTATAGAGCATATTCTTAGTTCTAAGATGTCTTATAATGATCTACACTGCTTACACATGTATTGAATTATGCCACTAAAGCAAGTTGAGAAAATAAAATACTCTCTCACTTACTCGATCTGCAGCTGCTTGGAGAGTGATATGATCTCCCCATTCCCCCAACCTGGCTTGAACAAGAAATAGCTAGTTAATGGTCTGTCCGGTCTTCTTTATGTAAGCAATAGATTGAAACCAGATTTCACCTCTTCATCTTCTTCAGGTAGCTTTTGTATTTCATGGGAACATAACTTTCATAAAACTTTCTGAAATGCTTTAGCTGAAACAGATTAGAAACCAGGATAAGCACAACAACAACAACATACCCAGTGTCATCCCACGAGTGGGGACTGGGGAGGGTGGTATGTACCAGACCTTACTCTTACCTTGTGAAGGTAGAGAGGCAGAAACAAGAATAAGCACATATAGATTATATAAATTAGTACTTAAATGTGATTTGGAGTCACAAAGGATAATATCGATGGGGCATCATTCCGAGCCATTAGGTCAACCTCATAAACTAAGTCTTAAAAGAATATTCCGAATTATAATGAAAAATAAAATGTTGTTTTCAGTACCGACTTTGTGAATAAGTAGCCATCCTTTGAAAGAAAAACGCAAGGAAAACTCAAAGAGAAAAGAAAACCTCATACTAACCATGAAATATTGTCACAAATAATTGCTCTATGACTAATTGACTTAACAACTTGCAAGTCACAAGACAATTATCCAATCCAATGTACAGTTGATATTAATAGCAGCACAGATTTTCACCAATTTCCTGAACTTAATACATCTAAAATCAATATTCATGAGTTATACACTCTAGGAAGAAAAGTTTGGTTCTTATACTAGAAAGAATGTCAAAATCAAACAGGTACGTGCACTACAGTAGGAGTGTAAGACAACGATAACAAAGTAGTAGCAAAATTGGGACTTAATAGGGTTGAAATCATTCTTATTCCCTAATTGTACATCAAAAAAAGGTTGATATCCTATTTTTCGGGATCAAAGTGAACTATAAGTTGAAGCTTAGAAGACTACCTAGTAAAGAACTTAAAAGAAGATCATCAAATTGATCCATAATGCTTGTGGTGTGCCATCTTAGCACCCAATATTCAGTTCATTCTTATGGTGTTCTCAATGTTTAACTTTTTGTTTTAAATATCCTCCAACAATGCCATTAGAATGATTTGGATAAATTTTGAAGGGAAAAACTCAAATCACATGGAACCTATAACGAAAGTACAATATAGTTTCTTTTTAAGTTTCATTTTAACTTTTTTTAGCAGGTAATTGTTTAATTCTTTCAATCAGTATCCAGAGGAAACAACATGAGTACAAAAAATGATATAGCTCCTGTACATTCCACTAGCTACGGTAGAAAAAGTAAAGGGCTGACAAAATCCAAAAGAGCAAAAACATTATCCTCAAAATGCACCGGAAAATTAAACTTGATTTTATACTGAATAGTTGAAGGACCATTTAAAGATTAAGGCTTGAGGATTTGGTAAGAAAAAACTGAACATTAAGGTTTGAAAATATGATATTAAAAAATGAACATTAAGAACTAAGTTACTAAACTAACACAGGGATCGCAAATATTAATTTTGTCATTCTCGAAAACTTATGTCTCACCTCCTCTTAATTTCTAAAACAAACTTGATTTCGCAATCATATATCACAAATACCCATTTAACAAGATCGCGAACTAGCTTAAGACACTCCAAGAACTTTCTTAGTCACTCCTTGCAACCCCCCGAATTTTGATCTCTTTTAACTATCAAAAGTTTTCAGGCTTTCTTCCTCAGATAACTTCTATATTTCACTGCATTCACTATTCCCATCAATTACCAAAACCTAACCATTAGTATCAGTATTGTCTTGTCCCCAACCTGTTATTATGCCACATGGGTCGTTCCTCACTCTTGAATGCTCTACTCGGCCAGACATTAGGTTACCAATTTGACCTCATATGGGACAGATTTCATATCTATAGAATTGAGCAATGTTTTAAGTTCTTTGAAAAAAAGGAGGGCATTGTTTAGAAAATTTGCATATCTTTAATCAGGGTTTATGTAAAGCTACAAGTACAGATTTTTATCAACTTTTAAAAGCCATAACTCATTTTTACAAAGAGAACAACTGCCACTTTTTTCTTCCAACTTTTCCTTTACTTCTTGAGTATAGGACTTCATTTCTTGGCAGTACCCTGTTGGCTTCTGCAAAATGACCTATGATTCTTGCTGCGTGTGTTAAAACTTCAGATAGCATTAAATCGGGCCTCTTTTTGCATAAGCTAATAAACTCAATTTCATCTAAATTTCGGCACTAAATTGATTCAAACATGTAACGACCTGCATGGTCGTTTTGTACTTTTCAACCCGTTTCCCCAGTTTAACCTTTCCTACAGCTTCATTATGTTGTTTATGACATGCGGGGATGGATGGAATGATTCCCGGTGTGATCAGATGCATTTTGGAGAAGATTTTCATCTTTGAAAGTTTAGAATTTGCCATCTGGAAAGTTTGGTTAAGAAGTTTGGATTTGAGTTATGACGGTTCCAATAGGTATGGATGGTGACTAATGACTTGATTGGATGTTTTGTATGGATCCCATGGTGCTCATGAGTGAATTGGATTATTGGTTGAGTTTCTGGTTAAGTTTGGAAATTTTAGTTGAACACTGTCAACATTTGGTTAAGAAAACCTGGGATCGGTGATTTGGTGATTCCAACAGGTTTGGATTGCATTCTACGATTGATTTTCATATTTGGTTTGTGTCCCGGGGGTTCCAGATGAGTTTCAGACACTTGATTGATGATAGGCCTAAAATGGATATATTTAGCCATTAATTGTCTCACATTTTAGAACTTTTAATTGTCTTTTAAGTAGTGATTATATTGTTTTATGCTTAATATTATATTTTTGATGTGTAGAAATAAAGCAGTGTGAGAGGATGAAGAGATTTTAAGTATAATTGGGGATGGGGGGGGGGGGGGGGGGCGCTTTTTTTTGTACTCG